TTGTCCACCGATGTTGTCACCCCATCGTAAAGAGTACTCCTTGTGCCAATTCATTTGATCTTAACCATCTGCTGGTCACGTCTCTGGTGCTTGCAGATAATTCTGGATGACTTAGCTGTGGCTTGCAGTTCCTTTGTTGTTTCTCTTTCTTCTTAAAACTTTGAGTAGTCTCTAGTGTGTGTCATCTTCTGAGCGCTCTCTCTTTTGTTGAAGCTTTCCTTCCTAAATGGTATCCTTGTGCTGGTAGCACAAGGATGGAAGATTATTTGCTGTGGGTGAATCCCTTGACTGATTAACACAGCTGACTGTTGCCAACAGAGAGGGAATGTTACTGGACTGGTCCTCTTGCTCACAAGGGAAAGCGAGATGAAGTTGTGAGTTTTTTTGAAATGACCAGGGAAATTAATATCTGATCCTGCAACTATGAGCACCAAGAACTATATCCACATACTTAGATCATGTTATTCCTTCTGTGGTGCTAGTCAAGACTAGCTCCAGGATAGGTCATCAAATAACTTTGGTATCAGAAACATTCACCTTGACGTATCTCTCCTTTTGCCTCACCTTAGCTTCTGTCTTCTGGCCATATTAATATATGAATGAATGGCCTCCTAAAGCCCCTTCAGATGCTTGAAGGATTTTGCTCTTGTACCAGTATTGCTTGCTCTGGCAGTAGTACTCACCAAAATCCCCAAGGATGTTGGCGTTCTTGGTTGTGAGCATCCTCTTTTTGCTAACCATACTTCCTTTGATAACTGCTATTTCCACACTTGGTGCAATGTGTTCTGTGGTTCATACATGCCTTTTGATTTTCACTGTTATTGTTGAGGAATGAGAACCAACACAGATTGCTTCTCAAGACAGTCTTTCAGATCCCTTTACATCTCAGACCCATACCTTGCTGGCAGATGTCTCAAGATGTTAACTAAGATCTTGTGTTACATCTTAGTCTCCTCCTACAAAACAAATAGAATAATCTACTTTTCTTCAAGTACATAGCACTATTAGCCCACATCATGTCAACTACAGTAGGAAAAAAATATTAAGCAAGCCTTCTTTTCCTTGGGAAACAACTGGATTTCTTGCTCGCTTATAGCTGTGAGCATGAGATGCAGGCACTATTATCATATCTTAAATATAAACGTGTTGACCATGAGACTTTTTTCACAAGTGTCTTCCCTCTGGTCAGTGAATATCCTGATTCCAGGACAAAAATCCATTTACCTTCCAGAAGAACTTCTTGCCAGGCTGCTATAAATACAGAAGATGCTGTTTTGAGAGCCAGTGATACTTTGGTCACTTCTTGATTGTATGGTACTAGCTTGTCAAACTGTCTTTGAAGAATTTTTTGATGGGATGCCTCTGTTTATTTTAAGGATAGATAAAGCCCTATATGATCTTACATTTTTGAGCTAAGCTTAAGTTTTGCATTTATATTTATCTTTCTGGTGGCCACCTACAACATTATGGACAATTTTGAAGAACTGTATTGCTATTGCCACTTGCATGAAGGACTTTGAAACCTTTCTCCAAACACATAGTAGTGTGGGACTTCATTCTAGCAGCCTTGCGTTTGCAAATTAGAAAAAGAGGTCGTTTCCCCATTAACTCAGCTCTTCAAAATGAATAGTGTAACTATACTTTAATTTCCTGCCTCCTTCCGTTCTCAGAGTCCTTGAAGGTCACATACCTCTGGAACTTTGTAATGGAGAGGGAACTGTAGCAGTTTCCACTTTATAGACTCCTGTAATGAATATGGGGGAAAGTAGTGTGTGAGCATTTCCTCCATGAGTATAGCAATGATAAATCCTTTGATTTTATGTGGCAGGATGGATGTCTCTCTGCAGTATACATCATATTAGAGAATTAGTAGTTATACCGTTATTGTCCAAGTGAAGTTTCTTGTGCTGTTATGATACAGTGGAAGTGAGTCACCTATGATTTTCATTTTGAATTAATTGAAAAAATTATTTATAATTTTTTTAGGATTCTGCAATATGTAACTGACATATTTGTATTCTGAATTTTTTCATGGGATATATATTCTGAAGGACACTACATTTCTGTATTACAAACCTTTGGAATTTTCTTATGTACATTAAATATTAAGCATAAAAAAAGCCCCAAACTGTTAGTGAAATTTAAATGGAGCTTCCCTGTTTTGTGTTATCTACACTCCACTACTCCTTTTGAATCCTTCATTTTGTCTCTTACTAAGCAAAGTTTTAGTCACAGATGACCTTGCTGGTTCTGAGAGCTCCTTCTCACAAACCTTTTCCATACTACATTTTTGTTTTATGTTTGTATTCAGAATTTAATTCTGAAGGCTAACTATTTATTAAAGATCTATTTAATGGCAGGTATTTTGAAAAGATTTTGTCTAACAAAATGTAGCATTGAAGCAAGTAAGATTACTGTTTTGTTATAGCATGCACTTCTCTGATAAATAAAAATACATTTTGCCCACTTGTTTGGCATACTTTAAATAATTTGTTACTGCTGATACAAGAAATTGTTCAGAACAGCTTACTTTTTGGACAGTTATCGTGCTCAAGCTTAAACTTTTTGTCCGTTGTGGCTTTTTTAGAATGTTTTAGCTGAAGATTTGAACTAACAAGCCCTAGAACTCTAGAACAGAGAAGTGGACCTTACTGTGTAAAGCTAGCAGAGGACCACTGGAGAGTCTAAACTTCAACTTCGCTGGCTAGTTAACATGGACTAAAATACTTCATCAGAGTTTGAAACCTCAGCTTAATGTTATATCTCAAAAATGCCTCCAGTTGAAATACGTAAAATGTTGCAAATTCATCTCAAAAACATTTTTTTCCCTTTTTTTTAATAATGCTGTCTCCGGAGGTGATGTACTCAAAACATTGCTATGCTTTTAAAGAAATTTGAAATGAGTGTGTGTGTGTGTGTTTTGTTTTTGTTTTGTTTTTTTAAGAGAGTCCTTAATACGGACTGCATTCCAGTGTCTTCAGTTGGTTGTGACAGACTTTCTTCCAACAATGCCATGTACTTGTCTACAGATAGTTGTTGAAGTTGCAGGAAGCTTTGGACTTCACAATCAAGAGCTAAATATTAGCTTAACATCAATTGGTTTGTTGGTGAGTTTTATATTAACCTACAGTGATGCTGCTTCTGGCTTTCGTTTTTTTCTTTTTTTTTTCCTCCTTTCTATTCTAAAAGAAAATTTATCTTTAGTCAATTCTACAAATGAAAGCCAAAACCTGTTTTTTGAGTTCTTACTGAACTCCCATGCTGTCATTTGGAATCATATATAAATGGAGTGAGCACAATTTATATCTAATCTGCATGTCTGCAGGGTTAAGTAAAGAAATAGTGTTGTGTTGTAAACATGTTCATCAGTATCTTGTTTTTAATAAGTTGTTTCCCTTTCTAGTACTTCGTGTATAACTGGAGCCTAAAAGCTGAGGCTAAGAAAAATACTTTCTGCACCTTGCAGTA